TATATATATTGTTCTATTCCTCTACTTAGAACTTTTGAATGCAAATAAATATTTTATATACTTTTATACGACAAAAATGTTCACGAACTTCTAAGCTCAATCTTTTCGCAGAAGTTTGGAAGATCTTCGTCCTTTCACTGACAAATAATTTACGCGATCATTTATTGCTCATTATTGAATTTATAGCCCCGTGGGAGGAGGACGACCACCACCTGGGCCACCAGTTTTTCCAGCACCAGCTCCAGCAATCGCACCTGCTACCACTGTAATACCGCCAAGCACTATACTCGGGTAAGCTTCGTGACATTTACCGCTATTGCACGTGATATTCGGCTTATGTTTGTTTATTCAATTAATTGCCGCATTCTGTTGCATTTCTCCTTTTTTTAGTTACCATTAATTATGTAATGAATGCCGTATGACGTTAAGTGGCAAACCGTTTTTTATTTTATGTTCGTTCATCCGGCTAATATTGGCGCGCTCGATGACGGGTTACAGATCTGTTATTAACTTTTCGCCTCCAATCGTCGTCTCCGATCATCAATTTGCTATTATACGAACTATTTATATCCATTCGATGATTCTTTTTTTTCATCGCGGAATCAATATATCGATCGTAATCCGTCGATAATGCATTTGACGATTCGTCATCTCGCCCGTCACTATCCACTCCTCCTCCTGTTTTGTGTTACGTTCTCGCGTCATTTTTTGGATTATTTTTTTTGTTAAAAACGAGACCTCTCGTTTTCTATGTCACCATGTGCACGCTTTGTTTGCTTTCGGTGTCGTAGATTGCGCGCGGACGACGTTTACCGCGCGTCATTATTACTAGATGTGTATGTTTAGTTACACAGTTTTATTTCTCTTACGTCACGCTACGACGAACACTCGTACGTTGGTAGAAAAAATGACGCGAACGTAACTTATGGAACAGTGCCGCGGTGGTTGCAGCCACGAGATGGTAAAGTCCCCTGCAACCGCAGCAACCATGGCATATCCCACGGAGGAGGAGAACCGGTCGCACCGTCGCATAGCCGGCATCAACGGTGACGACGACGACTACGACGACGACGATGACGACGATGACGACGTCGTCCGAAGCAATGGTAACCGCGAGGCACGCAATCGTGACCTCGACGCGCGTCGCGTCTGCGGTTTCAAGAACGATAAGAACGATTTTTTATCGTGTCTGAGCGATCAAAGAAACGGGAGTAGTAAAAATGACGTTACCGATACGTCTAACAATGATTTTACATATAGTTACCAGCTACTATCGAGGGAAGAAGCCGAGGACCGATTTCCGGAACCGTGCCGTTCACGAGATCCCGTGTGTAGGCAGGACGAGAAGGAAAATCAACAAAGACCGAGCGAGAGACGATCTAGGAAGCAGAGTCAGCCGAGACAGGTGAAATGGCACTGGGATTCCCGGCGCAATCTAATACCTGCGTTAGGTTTACAAGACCTGACAAACGTCGAGCCGAATAATAGGCAAATTAGCGGTAAGATAGAAATAATCTCTGGACATCAACAGAAATCGATACGGCAGCGAATGTTCAAATGTCATTTATGCCGAAAATATGAGCCGGCCCGAGGAATAAGCCGTCGCCCATATCACAGCAAAGCCTCGCTGATACTTCACACATTATGGCGACATAAAAGGCGATCTTATCATGAAAAGAATCGCACATCAACAGTCAGTTTGCCATCGACCGTCTCCTCGATTACACTCAAGGCCACGTTTTTCACAAACCCAAATTACAGATATCATAGATAACAGCAAAAGAGGCTGGGAGTGGCTAAGAGCGTAAATTGTTATTATTAGAATCAAATTTTACGAATGAATTTTTTGGATGAATGTATTGAATCGAATCGAAATGTAACTCGTCAAGGAACTCTAGTCGAGGAACTTTTCATTTGATTTTTGATATATCTGCTGTACTTTTGTACTTTACTGATTCTCTTCTCGTTGAATTTAATGATTAAAATAGCTTTTTCCTCGTTGCGTAAGTTCCTTGATCTATTGCAAAAATAAGCTTTGTACTCACACAAGATGTCTATGTCAGTAACATAACAGTTTGTGTCTGTACAAGAGAAAATTATAAGATATATTGATCTCTATTTTCTCATAGTATATTATGCAGAAAATAAGCGCCTGCCTGGGGAATGAACCGTCACAGCAGATGTTCGCTGAAACTACACGCATTATGGCCACATAAACGGCGATTTTGTCATGCCAAGAATCGCGCGTCAACAGTCAGTTTGCCATCGATCGTCTCCTCGATCACGCTCAAGGCCACGTTTTTCATCAACCCGAATTACGGATATTATAGCTAATAGTAAAGGAGCTTGGGAGTGGCTAAGAGCATAAATTGTTATTATTAGAGTAGAAATTTTTCGAATGAATTGTCCTTTTCCAACGAATTCTAATCTAGATAAATTTTTAATTTGAGTTTTTTTAATTAACTACCGTTATCTTTGATTAAACAAAAAAACTTACTAATCAGAACATAATTTTCTGATACATGTAAATTTTATATGTTATTATTGTCGGAGATATTTCATTGTTTCCCAAAATATGACGCAATTGTTCTACAAAGAAATCGTTTGCTGTATTCTAGAAGCGCACGAAAGAGAAGCGTGATATGAATAAAATTAATGTGATGCGAATCTTTATAATTGAAAGTATTTTAACGTAATGTATGTAAGAGATATGTAAATACATTTTTCGCCATGATAATCTCGATCGCTTTATGTAAGATATTTGAATTTAATGTGTATGTTATGTAAATAACTTCTCTGCCATGTGAGGATCCGATGACTCGAAACGAAAGATGATTTTTCAAGTAACATTAAATGAATGATATAAAATGTAGATTTTGATGATTGATTTGATAATCGATGTTCCATGGATTTATCTTCGACTATCTGTGTACACTTTCTTCTGTTTTAGACTAACGACGAAGCATCATTTGAAATGCAATTATGTATCACGATTAAGCAACATACCACTTCCGTACTTGGCTGCATAGCCACAATTTTTATAAAATTACAATTTAATATAAAGCGTTTATATACAAAACCATTATCTTGTTTACGTTATTATATGAAATATGTCTATTATACATGAAAATGAATAAAGAAAAAAATTTGCAGATGAAATTCGTCACATGAATCTCTTAACTTCTTATTCTCATATCTTTTCCGGTACTATAACCAATTTTTAATTGTTTCCCGTAGGTTACATTTCTCTTTTTCGTTTATGAAATAAAATAAACTAATTGTATATTTCTATTTTTAATTAGTGCAATAAAAGTGCGATAAAATAATAATACGTAAAATAATTTATGCAAAATAGTTTTCCTATATGAAAAAAAAGATTTTATAAAAGAATCGAAATTATTAGTTGTAGGTATTGAGAAAAAGAAAGACATCTTCTCATCGAGAGAAATTATATATCGAATGTCGGTACTTTCTAGTGTGTATATGTGAACTTGTAACTTGAGATGGAACTAGTGGTTGTTACCACAGTTTCTAATCGATTATTGCTATTGACACGATATATGTATATGGCAAAAAGAGGTTATAATTTGGTATATGTATATGTTTATATTATTTAACATAAATATGTTAATTGATATATATTTAATATATTACGTAATGATATTTTGCCACAACAAGCAATCAATTATCAAAAAATATTCATAAACATAAAATAAAAATTTTTCATGTTAAACATATCATGTGTGCAAAAAATAATCTTATAATTTTTATGATATAAAATATTTAATATTATTTTTCTATTTTATATACAAAGAACATTAAGTATTATATAAAACATTAAGTATTATATAGAAACCAGATTATTTTTTTGTTTATTTTTGTCGCGAGCATCGGAAAATTTATCAGAAAAAGGAATATTTCGTTGACGAATGATTATTTCTTCATCTCACATCATATCAATTACGTAAATTTTTGAGAGAACGGTCTGATATCAATAATTAATAATTGAAATCTAAGACCATTCGATGCAGTATTCCTCGCTTTTAGTTACGAAATGTTACTCTGAAATTATCAACGAACTTCGACAAACCGATTTCAATTCACCAGTCAACGGTAGAACTATGATGTGCTTTGCATACATAATGCAGCTTGCATAGTGAATGCATTGTGAGATGTCTTGAAAATAAAGACGTCAGTTGTCAGATTTACGTAGGTTGTCGATAAAAATTATTATCTTGCGACAAATGCGATTGATGACATATAGAATCTGATTTTCTGCTCAAAGATTCGTAAAAGTTTTCCAACTGTGCGTTTCAGAAGCATACGTATATGTAAATACTGCTATTGTATTTTGATAGTGATACTATATTATTTAAATTATATATATAATAATAATTTAAATTTTGTTATTATTGTATACAATATATATATATATATATATCTGAATGTGTATACCATGTACTATGCCGAAGTTTGTCAGTCAGAGATGTTAATCAGTGATGAAAGCCGCTGATCAACTTTCATCCCCGAGATGCATTCGGTATCTGGGGACTCTGTAAAGATCGATAACCAGGACGAAGTTATGACGAACACGAAGGATCAACCGCGGGACGTGGAAAAACCAGCTTTGACGAGCAAGACTTCACGTCAACATGGTGGAAATCGCGTTCTATCAAGCTGGGCACGAAGCAAGTTAATCGCAAGAGCAAATCAGGTTAGAAAAGTCACGTAAGCTCCCGTTTTGCTTCGGATAACGTACACAAATATTCGTATCATTCGTTTTGCATGAAAGCTTTGGACGATTCGTGAAAAAGCACGATCGATAGATATGTTATTTAGTAACTTTACTTTCGCGCGCGTTGGTGTATATATTAATTAACCTCTTGCATACTTAAAACGATAATCGTATTATGTAATATTTTCATAATATATATATGTTTTTCTTTTTCCAGATATATACATTCCCTAAAAATACAGCTTAATTATATAAATAATCATGATGATGGATCATTTATACGATTAAATTGTATTTTTAAGGAGTATATATATGATTATTATTATTTTGTATATATTATTAGAAACTCTGATTTCGATTTGTGTGGATAATTCATTATAATTTACATAATGATTAAATTCCTCTATATAATTAGCCTGTTTATCTAATGTTAGATTATCAATATGTAGCATCACATTGCAGGACGGCGGATATTGTTACTACGATTAGTATAATGATAATACGATTAATTGTTTTGTCACTAAACCGATTAATTTGATAAAACCTGGAATGGCGCAAAAATACATTAAATTTCACTACTCATTTATATAGTACGACTTAGATAGTTGTATACTCTAAAGCCTATACATACATCTATGTGCTTTATAGCGCTCATTCAATCGGATTACAAGGCGGATAGATGCTACTTAAGATATGATCATGGCTTTGTTTTATCGCGTAACCGACACTGGACATAGAACTAAATAAATAAATAAATAAGCGTTTTATCGCCCGAAAAGATTGAGTATAAGTTCATGTTTGCAAGAAAAAACGAGACGTTTATATATGACGTGCTGCAACGCAGAAAATAAAATGCGTGCGCGTACGTTAAATGTCACGATTTGTGTCACGTTTCGCTGCACACGTCGATAAGCGAACATTGATTCATTCATTCAACAAAAACAACAATAAAATATTCCTACATTATTCATAATCTATTAATATGGGTCATTGAGCATTATTTTCTCCAGTTCATTTTTATCGATATTTACAATTAGATGCAACTGTAAACGCATTATTCAATTCGTTGAATCACGATTTATTTGTTCTTTACAAATTGCCAAAGCATGAGCGTGAAATAGAAAATTAATTAAATTATTATATTTCAGTGATTAGAGAGAGGAAGGAAGAGGGCACATTATTTAACAATAATAAATAATTATTATATAATATTACTATTTTTCTCTTTACATGTATTGTTTGAGAAAATATTACATTCAATTGTATATTACATTTAATTCACAAAATTTAATTTATGAGAAAATATATATAATGAAACTATTATACTTTTTGTTAACATTTTTCTCAATATTTATATTTTTCTCCATAACTTTTTACGGATTCATCATAACATTTTATTATTTTTGTTTTACAGATATATTAATAATTCATTATTTTAATATTAAATTTGTAATTGATGGCAAATATACATACATACATATACATACATACATACATACATACATACATACATACATACATACATACATACATACAAGTTGTTCGCAGCATTCCATTTGCGTATCACGAATAGTACATTAATCGATTGGCAAATTTTTCATCCACGTTTCTCTAATTTGTCATCATAGCAGATAGATATAAAAAATAACGCCCTTTCAAAATCATGCAATGTAATGCTCTTTAATAGCGCGCGTTTAACCGATCGTTAAAACTTGCGTTCTCGAACTTACGTCTCGCCCTTACGGTCGTTGTTCGGCGTTTTCAACGTCGTGTTCAACATCGCTAAAACTGACCCACTTCAACTTTAAAGCCGACTTGGGTCACCAAGTACAACGGAGTCGCGCACCTTGGAGCACATAATTAATCGCTTCCCGCCCAGAGAATGAAAGGCAGCTGGGTCACGAGACGCAGTCACTTTGGTCTCCTCTTTCTTTCTCTCTCTCTCTCTCTCTCTCTCTCTCTCTCTTTCGCTATTCTCGTGCGTCGCAATGTTGGCGCGATATAACGCAGATTTTGCCGCGTGATATTTCGCGGTGCTGCTGCCCACGGACCGTCGATTGTAGCGGTGATAAATAATTACTTTGGTAATCGCGCGATCGGTTTGAAATACGCACACACGCCAGCACAGCTTTCGAATATGTTCGTGATTTTCTCGAGGATTCCACACGTTTTAGCGCGTGCAAACAGAAGATTAATCATGTACTTGTCACTGAAATTTTTCACTATTCCCACTTTACTTGTGCAAATTTTATAGGTACTTTGTTCTATCGAAAATCTCGTTCCTTCGCTACGTGATCACAATTCTAACGATTTCGCTTTTGTTTTCTGCTCACTTTTAAAAGAGAATTACATGATTGATTCAGGGGATGAGCGCTTGCTCTTTTCCGAAATCAAGCTGATAGCACGTTCGTTGTATAAAAGCAATCAAGAAGCTTTTCGTGTAGGGCTCGGAGGGCGGCAAATTGTAAGAA